GATCTTTTCTTTAACAGTCTGGCTTGAGCGTTCAGATGAACTGATAATATTCATCAATGCCTTTTGTTCCTGCACAATTCCTATTAGGTCATAATGTAGGCTATAGGTAAATTTAAAATTTTACATCAAAAATTAATATGGAACCCAAAGAGATTCCAAATTTCTAAACCGATCCTAAACAATAAAAATAAAGCCTAGGGCGTATTGCTGGGATTTATAGGCATATTGCTGGGCAGTTATACTCAAAACAGCCCGGAATGACACAGGGATAGAAATGTGCACCAGTGGAACAGATTAGAAGCTCAAGAAATTAATGCATGTGTCTATAACCAATTAACATTTGACAGTGACTCCTTGGAGAAAGGACAGCTTCTCCAACAAATGCTAGTGGGAAGATTGAATCTTGGAATGTACACTATGAAACAAGATCACTACCATATGTACAAAACTCAGCTAACAGTGGATAAGATATGGAACTATCAAATCACTATAGAAAATATAGGGGAAACACTTCAAAACATTAATATACACAAGGATTTCTTAGATAAGAACCCAGAAGCACAGCTAATAAAAGAAAAATTAGAAAAATGAGATTACATCAAGCTAAAAAAAAAAAAACTTCTGCACAGCAAAGGAAACAAAAGAGGCAGATGACAGAGAGCAAAATTTTTACGAATTATATATCTGATAAAAGGTTAATGTTCAGAATATAGAAGGAGATCAAGAAGCTAAACAACTGCAAAAGTAATCAAGGTAAGAAACTGGCTAATGGGGTCAGTGAGGTGGCTCAGTAAGCTAATTCTCCACCTGTAGTACTGACATGCCAAATGGGCACCAGTTCTAATCCCAGCTGCTGCACTTTTGATCCAGTTCTCTGTCATTGGACTAGGAAGGCAGAAGATAGCTCATATCTTTGAGCCCCTGCACACGCACGAGAGACGTGGAAGGAGCTACTGGCTCCTGACTTCAGATTGGCTCATCTCCTGCCTTTGCAGCCGGTGGGGGTTAACTAGTAGATGGAACCTCTCTCTTTTTCTCTTCTCTCTCTCCTTGTCTCTCCATAAGTCTACATTTAAAATAAAAGTAGGGATTTTTTTTTAAAAAATGAGCTGGTGATATGAACCAGTATTTTTCAAAGGATGAAATACTAGCAAACCAACATGAAAAGTTACTAAGAACCACTCACTGTTAGGAAATGTAATAAAAGACGTCACTTCAGTTTTTAAAATAGCTATCATAAAAAATAGCTGTGAAAATAAGGTATTCTAATACATTGCTGCTATGAATGTAAATCAGCACAGCCATTGTGAAAGACAGAATAGAGTCCTCACAATTGTGAAAGTATATCTACTATGAAACACAAGTATCATATTTCCCCTGGTTGTAGTAAAAATATTAAAGGTACAAAAGTGTAATATCAGCAAAATGGACATTTTGAGGTGTTTATTCTTTATAGCTCCTGTCTGTACTCCTGAAGAGCAGTGGTCTTTTTTTTTTTTAACTTATTTTGGAATTCTTTATTTAGCAGGGAGTTAACCTTGTGATTTTAGAGTAAATTGCAAGTATTCTAATGTGAAACTTAAAAGAAAAATAAAAAGATTTGGGTGCAAGAGAAGGAGGGTAGCTGAAAAATATCATTATATTTTTTTAAAAATGATTTATTATTTTATTGTAAAGTCAGATACACAGAGAGGAGGAGAGACAGAGAGGAAGATCTTCCATTCGATGATTCATACTCCAAGTGGCCACAACGGCCGGAACTAAGCCAATCCTAATCCAGGAGCCTAGCGCCTCTTCTGGGTCTCCCACACGGGTGCAGGGTCCCAAGGCTTTGGGCCGTCCTCGACTGCTTTCCCCAGCCACAAGCAGGGAGCTGGATGGGAAGTGGAGCCACTAGAATTAGAACCAGCACCCATATGGGATCTTGGAGTGCAAGGCGAGGACTTTAGTCATTAGGCTACCATGCCATGTCTTCATTATATCTTAAAAGTGTTTAGGTGGGGACAGGAACTGCGGCATGATAGGATATCATGCTTGTGACATTGGCATCCCAAATGGACACCAGTTCGTGTCTCAGCTGCTCCACTTCCAATCCAGCTCCTTGCTGACAGCTTGGAATGGCAGCAGAAGCTGAATCAGGTCCTTGGAATCCTGCATCCATGTGGAAAACCATGAAGAGGCTCTTGAATCTTGGCTTTGGATCCCATCAGCTCAGCTGTGGCCACTTAGCCATTTTGGAGTGAACCAGCAAATGGAATATCTGTCTCTCTGTCTCCTTCTCTTCGTAACTTTGCCTCCCAAATAAAAATAAAATAAATTTTTAAAAACTGTATAGATGAAATATTTGTTCCTTTTATAAAATAAAAATTTAGCACCAGTAAATAAAATATTAGATTGAGAAAGGCAAATACATGGTTACATGACATTTTAGTGTGGGTCTTTGCATCAATATTTTCAAGATTGTCATTCTTGCACAGTAATTATCAAGTTGTAGATCATAGTAGCTACACATAAATAGAACTAAATATATGTCTTCCATTTTTCTATTCTCATAACTGGTTGAAGTCACAGCAGCAGGAACTGTGATCATTAAAGGCTTGGTAAACTTCTCTGAGCCTAGTGCTTTCTAAAATGTCCCTCTGTGGGCAGATTTTTAATTTTTCTTCCATACTACCTAATTTATTTTCAAAGATAATCTTGAGACCTTGGAAAAAGTTGAGACAATTTCTGTCTTTGAGAAATAGAATTTGTTCAGTAAAATATTTCACAGGAAAAAAGTGGTATTTAATTGTGAAATAGTGTTTGTTAACTCTATAATTATGTTGGAAAAAAGAAACTTAGACTTTCATGAGAAAGTTGAACAGCCACTGAAATTATAAAGTCTAACCTGCAAACCAGTAATATTGTACTTAATATATAGACTCCTGAATATAATATGCTATTTGACCAGGTTTTATTTTTCCTTCTTTGCATGCCCATATTTTTGTATTTCATTATTATCAAAGAAAAATTATTCTCATATTGTTACCATAGACAGACAAACCAAGCCAATTGATAAATTAGTATGATTCATCAGATTTCCAAAGCAATCTACTATTATACCTAGGTTGGCATTTCCCTGGACTATTGTGGTATATATTACACACAGTAATTTAAGCTGCATCTCATGATGTATATGAGAGAACTGTTGATTAAAAACCACATACTTGGTAACTATAGCACAAAACAATCTTTAACAGAGAAATAAGTGTAATGTTTAGAGTCTTGTATGCTTATGAGTCTTGAAGCGTTGTTTTGTAGGTTCAAATACTAGATCAATCTCAGTGTTATATGTTTCAAAGTCTCCCCAGAGTCTGCAGTGGGATTTCTTTTCATTGGAGCCAGGGATCAGCTGGGTGCGGCCTCTTGTTGCTGCCATCAGCAGGGTTACCACAATATGGAACCCGATAGGCTGTTAGCTGAGGGGAGGACGTTCTTTTGATGGTATGACTTTTCCTTTTTCTAACCATGGGCATTGTGATCTTTTAAAAATTGACATCAAATAATATTTTCAAATACCATAATATGACATATACATACACATACACAATTGATGGTCAAGTAGAAAGACCCTATATAAAATAGCTTCAGAATGACTTAATGAATTAAATTTTAATGTAAAAACCATGGAATAATTATAATTAAAACTGGGAATATTTAAACAGGCATGTTTTAAGGAGGCATTCCCTAAACATAAATTCAAAGATACATAAACAATAAAAGATGAGTCTAATAGAAAAACATTTAAAGTTCAGTAGCATCAAACATTAAACAAACGTAGGGAAAGGAAACAAATGAAAAATGGGAGACTTTCCTAATCATTCGATATTACCTACAAAAAGTGCTGTGTGTCCCCTCCCCCCCAGGGCTTTGGAAGGGCCCCCGCTTGGTTCTGGTTTGGTGTCACACCCAACTCTGCTCAAAGCCTCCCTTGTTTTGGGTCTGTCTCTGGTTATGTGCCTCCCTAAGAACAGGCGATGTTTGCTTAGAAACCTGTGCCTGGTAGTTTGTATGTAAAGCATATCAGGACCTACATATCCCAACACGAACCCTTCTCTTGATTAAAGTTGATTCATGAAAGAGAAGGGTGGTGCCAAAGCGAATGGTGCTGTGTATGTTTGTGGAAAACCGTCCTAAGCCCAGGACCCTGAGCAATAGAAACATCAAATTCAGAAGGACAGAGAGACCAGTTTGGTATGGTGAGTGAAGGGAAAAATGCTGGAGCCAGACTACCCAAGATTGTCCATGATTCTTCCTGAAACAGTTCCACCGCTCTGCACCTTGTTTTCCTTCTATGGAAAACAGGGACAGCAGTGCGCAGGATATTGGTGGTGTTGCAGGAGTTGCTGTGTGGAAACACCTTGGCGTATGTGCAGGAATGCACCTGTGGTTTCATGGACAGCTGTGTGATGTAACAGTGATGTATGGCGATGATCTAGGGGGATACCATGACTGACCATTGGCTGACCACTGCATTAGAAGGAACTGAGGATGAACCAAAGGACATGAAGCTTTAGATGAAGCAGGAGAATATACAACTATTCTTTCCGCGGGTTGGTGCTGAGGAGGCAAGATGTGTGTTTTGGGATCAGAACACGTTTGTTATGTAAAATTATCTTTAAAAAATATATGTGACAAGTCGTGTCTTCTCCACTGGAGACTGCCTTTTCTTATTGTTTTATAAAATAACCGGTGACGCGGGTGAGAGGCACCCGCCCGCGCACCCGCCCTACCGTGGCAGCTCCGAGGAGAAACAAATGACGCAGCCCGTGCAGCTGCCGGGGCTCGATGCTGCAGCACGCACCACCAGCAGCCGTTGAGCAGTGTCCACTTCGGTTGAATTTTGTCCCTCTGCGCTTGCCCCCCACTCCCCTTCTCTCTGGTCCCAGCTCCCAGTACCCGCTGTTCTCCCCAGACGGGAAGGCCGCGGAGTGTGTGGCTCCCTGGGCAGCGGTGCCAACATGAACCCCAACACCCGCGGCTATCCCCTGGCCTCACTGTATGTGGGGGACCTGCACCCCGACGTGACCGAGGCCATGCTCTACGAGAAGTTCAGCCCTGCAGGACCGATCCTGTCCATCAGGGTCTGCCGGGACAGGCTGACCCGTCGCTCCCTAGGCTACGCGTACGTGAACTTCCAGCAGCCTGCGGACGCGGAGCGTGCCCTGGACACCATGAACTTTGACGTTATCAAGGGCAAGCCTGTGCGCATCATGTGGTCTCAGCGCGACCCGTCCCTTATGCGAAGCGGAGTCGGCAACGTCTTCATTAAAAATCTGGACAGAACTATCGACAACAAATCCCTGTACGACACGTTTTCTGCTTTTGGGAACATCCTTTCCTGCAAGGTGGTTTGTGATGAAAACGGCTCCAAGGGCTACGGGTTCGTGCACTTTGAGACGCAGGAGGCTGCTGAAAGAGCCATTGAGAAAGTAAACGGGATGCTTCTGAACGACCGCAAGGTGTTCGTCGGACGCTTTATGTCTCGCAAAGAACGAGAGGCCGAGCTGCGAGCCAGGGCCAAGGAGTTCACCAACCTCTACATCAAGAATTTCGGCGAAGACATGAACGAGGAGTGCCTCAAAGATCTCTTTGGCCAGTTTGGACACGCCTTGAGTGTGAAGGTGATGACTGACGAACGCGGAAGATCCAAGGGATTTGGATTTGTGAGCTTTGAAAGGCATGAGGATGCCCAGAGAGCCGTGAATGAAATGAATGGAAAGGAGTTCAACGGGAGACTAATCTACGTTGGACGAGCCCAGAAAAAGGTGGAGCGCCAGACGGAATTGAAGCACAAATTCGAACAGATGAAGCAGCAGCGGATCACCAGATACCAGGGTGTTAACCTGTATGTGAAGAATCTGGATGACGGGATTGATGACCAACGTCTCCGGAAGGAGTTTGCATCGTTTGGTACCATCACAAGTGCGAAGGTGATGATGGAGGGACGTCGAAGCAGAGGGTTTGGTTTTGTATGTTTCTCCTCGCCAGAAGAAGCCACGAAAGCAGTCACGGAAATGAATGGCAGAATCGTGGCCACCAAACCCTTGTACGTGGCTTTGGCTCAGCGCAAGGAAGAACGCCAAGCTCACCTCACTAACCAGTATATGCAGAGAGTGACAAATGCGCGGCCTGCGCCCAACGCAGTGATCAGCCCTTACCAGTCCACGCCTACTACGGGTTACTTCATGGCAACAACTATCGCACAGACTCAGAACCATACTCCATACTGTGCTTCCAGCCAAGTGGCGCCACTAAGACCCAGTTCTCGCTGGATGCCCCAGGATACCAGATCTTTGCGAAACATTCCCAGTTCTGTCTTCCCAGCTGCTTCCAGACCACCGTTTAATACCATGAGACCAGCTTCTTCACAGCTTTCACAAGTCATCTCCACCCAGCGCGTGGCTAACGCATCATCGCAGCCAGTGGCTCCGCGTCCTGCCATGGCTGCTGGAGCAGCCGCTCCTGCTCGCCCAGTCCCACAGTACAAATACGCTCCCGGAGTTCGCAATGTACAGCAACACCTCAACGCACAGCCACAGGTGATCTTGCAACAGCCTGCTGCTGTCCATGTCCAAGTTCAGGAACCTCTAACTGCTACCATGTTGGCGTCTGCTCCCCCTCAGGAGCAAAAGCAACTGTTGGGCGAACAACTGTTCCCTCTGATTCAAGTCCTGCACCCTACCCTTGCTGGTAAAATCACTGGCATGTTGTTGGAAATTGATAACTCGGAACTTCTTCATATGCTCGAGTCTCCAGAGTCTCTCCATTCTAAAATTGACGAAGCTGTGACTGTACTCCATGTCCATCAAGTTAAAGAAGCCGCCCAGAAAGCAGTGGACAGTGCCACTGGTGTCCCAACTGTTTAGAATCGGCCTGGGCCCAAGAAAAGAACATACATGCATCACTGAAGGAACATACCTCAACATCAAAAAACTTAAATTTATGGGAAAATTGCTAAACAAATTTTTAAAAGTAAAGGAAACTTTGACCCTTATGTGCTGAACAAGCATAAAGCTAGTTCTAGATGACTTATTTATCTGAAAAACAACATAAACCCCACCAAAAATAGTAAAATATAAAAACTAATATTATAGAGATTCTGAAAAAATGGATTTTCAGCAAAGTATGACACTGTATTTTTAAAATTTTGCTATTCTTCACTGCAAAATAGTTCAGAATTTCATTTCCAGACACACAACTGATAACTGATCAAAGAAATGTAATTTGAATTATAACATCATTGATTTAATTAAAATCCCCTAAGCAAAAAAACAACATACAAACAGCAAGAAAATAAAAACTCGAAATGCCCAATCATAGTACAGCAAGAAATATAGAATATACAAGATTTGTTCAGAGGAATCAGCATGAAAGAAACAAAACAAAAACATAAAAAAAAAAAAACCAGCAAAGACAAGACACTGAGGAACAAGGATAAACCCAGCAGTGAAGGAAAGAGACTAATATGTCACTTATTAAAATGTATCTAAAATAGTTAGTTCTCTGCAAAAATGTTAAAAACTTTTAACGAGAGAAAACACATCAAGTACACAGAGGGGAAAGCCCTTGGTAGAAATTATCATCGAAGACTCCAGATGTTGGACATACACATCCTAGACACTGACTGTGAATCATTTATTTGAAACATATTCAACGCCGTTAAGGAAAGCCATCTAAAGAATTAGAGGAATGTTTGGCAACTGGGTCTCACAAAATAAGTGATATCAAAGGAAAACTGAAAATTATCAGAATCAAGAAGTCTAGGTTAAAATAGAAAATTCAATGTCTGAAGTGGAAAAATTCTGTTGCTGGGTGCACAGTTGATCTGGACAGACAGGAGAAAGGATCGGCAGAATTAAAATCACACTAATGATTATCCCAGTGAGTTACAAGTTAGTGTAAAAAAATATACACGAACTGATACAGGAGATTTACCTTCACAGTAACCAACAGATAGAGGCAAATGGGGTTAAAATCATTTGAATAAATATAATCAAAAACTGACGATTCGCCCATATATTAAAGAACATCAGCAAACTGCAGTGAAAATAGTAGCTCAACACCTGCGCGTATCATAGTCCAATTAACAGCATTAAAGAGAAAATTATGACAAAAGAGGAAAGCAACGTGTCACCCAAGAGTCACAATATGATAAAGAGCAGATTTCTCACCAGAAGCTACGGGTTGCACAAGGTTATTAGATAATATCTCCAAAGTGCTGGGAAAAGTTTTGTTGAGAAATAATTCCATTATCAGAAAAACTGTCCTTCAAAAAACTGAGGACTAGAAAATCAAGAATACACATCAACACAAAAGGTTGGACATGAATGTGTATAGCAGGTTTGTTTACAATTTGAAAAACTTGGAAACAACCAAGATATCCTTAGTATGTCTGGATAAGTAACACCATGGTACATATCCAATGAAAAACCGTGATGGAGACGTAACTGCTTGTTATTCATGAATTAGTACAAAATAGCTTACAAACCAAGTGATACCAGCTCTGTTACACTGCACCTTGAATGGACAGCACAGGAGTGAACCAAAATGCAAACCAGGGACTTTGGATGATAATGTGTCAATGTATGTTCATTGGTTATGTAATTGTACCACTCTAGAGGGGGCTGTTAGTAATGGGGGAGGCTGTGGGTATTTAGATGCAAGGCGTATACAAAAAGAAATCTCAGCACCTTCGTGTCATCTTTTTCTGTGATCCTAGAGTGTCTGCAAAAGTAAACTATGTCAGTGGAAACGAATGCTGGAGGTGGGTGCTGTTGATAGTTACATGTGGATATAGTTACTACCACCAAACTGTATGCTTGAGTATAGTTAAAATAGCAACTTTTATGTACTATAAGTCATGGTATTAACAGATGAAAATAAAAATATATGCCTTGTTTCTCAGTAACTGCTCCGACAAGTTCATTACATCATTTTAAGCAGTGATACCAGCCACTTGGTCAATCTTTAAAGAACCCAGGTCCATAGAGTTTCATCTTCTAGATACAGTTTTTTTTACATTATTAAATAAAACTTGGGTGTCCTCCAGAGGACTTTAAGATTAGTAAGTAGAAGCAATTTTAAATTGCACATCTGTTGAAAGCTTTTTTTCAAAGCTCTGATACTGTTTGTGACCCATCTGCATGTGATAGTCTTGGAACTCATGAAGCAGTAAGTTTACTATTTTTTTTTTTCAATCAAAATTGTGGAAACTGAGCCAATCAATGGTTTTTCTGCTCTTAACTGTTGATCCTTTCAAATTAGGGCAGAGAAAGATTAATTCTTCCTCAGAAACTAGTAGGGTAGTCCATTACTATAACTTTGTATTGAACATATTATGGACCCTTCTTAAACCAAACCAAGTAATTCATTTGTGAATTATTCCCATCAATTCTCCATAAAACACTAATGAGTTCATCAAACCTCCATCTAACCTACACCACCTATTCACCTATTCACCTATTGATTTTTCCATGCTTTAATTTTAGCAAAATTTATGTTGCCCTGGTAGGTTGTCTTTTCAAACTGATATCTTATTCTTCTGACTGCTCATACTAACTACTGGTCAAGCATGCTTTAACAAGTTAGTATATTTGAGTAAAAAAAAAAAAAGATTGAATCTAAGCTTAGATTTTTTTGTAGCATGCACTTACATGAACTACTTCAAGATCCATCATGTGCTACCCCAATTTAAAAAACTCCAATTTCTTTTAAAAATATGTAGTAGGAGAAAATATTTATAGAATATGTGGATGAAGGACTTGTGACCAATGAGTCCTTAAATAAAACCCTATGGAAATAATGAAATTTAAAAATGAACAAAAGGTGTGAGCAGATACCTCACCAAAATGACATGTGAGTACAAATTGCCACTGAAATCATGAAAATATGATCAATGTTTTAGTAATGAGGCAAGTGCTCATTAAAACAATAGTGACATGCTACTTCACACCCACAGCAATTCATATAGAGACAGGCACATCTGGAGAAATTGGAATTTTCACACTTTACTGGTCAGCTTTTAATGTGCATCCACTTTGGAAAGCAGTCTGAAAACATGTCAGCTTCTAAGTAAGTGGTTGAAAGACTATTCTTCAAAATAGTGCGGGGGGGTTGGGGGAGCAACTTGTGAATACATAAAATATGTATACATGAGATGGAGTATTACTTGGCAGTAAATGGAAACACAGTACTGATATATGCTATCATAGGAGTCATAAAATTAGAAATGTCACATTAATGTTTCACATCATATAAACAATGCATGAAATATAAAGTTTTCAGAATAAGCAAATCTGTATGTGGGACTAGGTGACATGGGAAGTACGTGTTGGGAGAGAGAGAAGGGAAAGATGGCCAGTGGATCAGGAGTTTTCATGTCTGGGTGATAAGCATGTACTACACTTAGATTATAATGATGGTTTCGATTATTATGATGACTACACCACTTTGAGAATGCATAAGGAACCACTGAATAATAAACATTGTATGACTTATATCTCAATAGTTATCTTAAAAATAATTACAGTGTAAAATACCTTTTCAAATTATAACAGCCTAATAGAGATATAAATTAGGACACTGGCTAATGACCAAGAGAACTGTTGAATTACTTCATATAATTCAAGTTGACTCTGAGTACACCGAGTTCAATGTCAAGTTAGGAGAGAAAAAGTGATCTTGCCATGTTCATAATAATTTCGTAAGGCTATTTGCAGCAGGAAGCAGATTGACATGCTTGTTCTTCTGCTCTGCTTCAAGCATATTTAGAGTCAAACCAGCAATATCAGGTAGAAAGCAGCTAAAGGGGAATCAAGAAGCTTTGCAAACTGACATGTTTCATCAGCAATGTTCAGTCCCCTTATTAACATGTTTGCATATATATTTATCAGTATAGTCATTTTTACATGCAGGATAACCAATCAAGACTGTGCATAATTTCTTCCTTCCAAAATCATGCCATCAGTGAGTACAGGCCTAACAATGTCAGTGCCTTCTTGGATGACAAGCAAGAACCTAGACATGTTCTTGGGAGCGAGGCACGTCATGTGAAACAGGGCCTCGAGAAACAAGAGTGCAAACCAAGAAGGTGCCACCTTAGCCTCTGAGATAGGTAAGAAAGTGCCAACACGGAGCAGATGGTGGAGCTCAGGCCTGGGTCACAAGTCAATACACAGCCAGGAAAGCAGATGTTTGGCTAATACCTGCCTCCATCAAGGAGTGAAGCCAACACTGCTCATGATCTTTTGTCTCCAGGTAGGTCACCAACACTCTGGAACTAGAGAAGTGAATAGCTTGGGTCGTGCTCCCTAAAGTATTCAGCAGTGTAGGAACTCATTTTCAGAGTGGTCAAAGTTCATTGATCACAATAAGAGACTAGTATCAGCACAGGACTAACACAGTCTGCCTTTTGTTGCTTTTACAAAATACCTGAAATTGGTCATTTATAGAGAAAAGAGTTCTTTTTTTAAAAGATTTTTATTTATTTATTTATTTTAATTGAAAAGTCAGATACACAGAAAGGACAAAAGACAGAGAGGAAGATCTTCTGTCTGCTGGTTCACTCCCCAAATGGCCACAACGGCCATAACTGAGTTGATCCAAAGTCAGGAGCCAGGAGCTTCTTCCAGGTCACCCACATGAGTGCAGGGTACCAAGCTGACTGCTTTCTTAGGCTGCAGGCAGAGAGCTGGATAGGAAGTGGGGCCACCAGGATTAGATCGGTACCCACATGAAATTCTGGCGAGGACTTTAGCCACCAGACTACCACACTGGGATGTCTTATTTTGGTTTATAGTTTCTTAACGTCCAAGAGCTTGGTACTGGCATTTTCCCAGCTTCTGGTTAGGGCCTTGTGTTGCTTCATATCACAGTAGAGAAACAAAGTGGAAGGAGCCTGTGCGTGTGTGATTGAGGGAGAGGCAGAGGGAAGGCTGATCTGCTTTACAACAAGCAGTGCTCTCTGTAGCCAATCCAATGATATGAGACTATGAGACCTAATTCAATCTCAGGAGAACAAACCCAGTGTCTGAAGAAGGACATTAATTAATCCACTCAGGAGAATAGTGACTCCATGCCCTAATCATCTCCTAAGGCCTCGCCTCTTGTTAATTCCATTACCTCTCAATGCCATTACATGGGGGACCAAGTTTCCAGCCCATGAAATTCTGGGGAACAATTCATATCAAGTTGTAGAGAAGGCTGCGTTTCAATTGGTCTCTCAAGTACTAGCGTGGTGGCCTCACTAAGTTGTTGTTGTGGTTGTTCCTGAGGGCTAGACGCACTTGCTTCTGGGGGTGTGGAAAGTGGAATGCATGTGTTCCCTGTACTCCTGTGTGTAAAGAGCCCAGTGTCTGGGAACCAATGAGAGTCTGCCCAAAGCTTCGGTCTGGGAAGAGTGGTCAGTTATTACCGTCCCAAGTTAAAGCAGTACAGACAATGGCTCCCTAATGCTGGTTCACATAGGCAGGGGCCAGGCCTGTCGCTTAGGAACATGGGCCTCTCCCTGCTGACCATGAAAGCCCACTGCAGATTCAGGTAGAAGGGATCCATTGGTTTTTGGAGTTTCTGTGTCTCTGTGGAAAACATAGAGAACAAATACCGTCTAAAATCTTAACATCTTTTTGGCAATAAAATTGTAACTTTGACTTTCATTAATTTATAAACCTCCACCTTCAAATACCATTGTTTGTTCTGTATTGTTAGATGGCTACCCCAAAGAAGAAATGATCTATAGATGGAGAAAAAACTCAGTGGAGGCGGCCGATCAGAAGTCATGGCGACTGTATCAGTTTGACTTCATGGGCCTCAGAAACACGACGGAAACTGTGACAACCTCTGCAGGTAGGAATGAAAGAAGTACAGCGCTCAAAAAAGAAGAAACCTGAACTGTTACTACTTGAGGCTTAAGCCAAAAAATACCCTTTATGCAAAATTCTTTCGTGCTTAAATTGCAAACCAAGTATGTTAGGGCAATCATGATTCCTGAGTGAGAAAATAACTGATTTTAAAACTAAATGAATGTTTTAAATTAGAATAGGACAATGGTGCTTCTAATTGATATACATTTGAAATCGAAATTTTCCTTTATGTCTATAAAGCAAACTGCTATGATCACCAGTGATTATATTTACATAAACCAGTGTTACTAGTGATTCTGCAAGTAGCCACAAGGCCAACAAGTCATAATTCATAAACATTAAAATCAGATATTACTCATAATTCACAAATAAAAGGAATTAATTCAAAATACCTGTTGGGTTTTAGTTCCTACCTATTTCCTTTCCGTATTCCAAACTTTATCTTAAACTTTGAGCTGCTTTATAAAGAGATTAAGCAGTCACCCACCAATATTATTTTGTTAAGTGATCATTTAAGCAGATTATTAAGCATGTGAGTAAATGAAAAAAGACGTTGTTCCTATGAATGATTTTAAACATATTTTGGTTTTGGTTTGTTCTTACTCTTGTGGTCTGCTGTTTTGTGACTGATTATTTCTTAATGCTGTTTCCAATGGAGCTTATAGTGAACTTTCCTATTAATATTATTTATTAATATGAATAATTTCTGGACTCAAAACATTACAGTAATCCAGTTTGTTGTTTACTAGGTTAAAATATTAATTTTCACAATTGTTGGCAAATATCTTTAAAGGATAGTCTACATTCTTGATAGGAATGTAAAATAGAGAGCTGATTGTACATCAAGAAATGTCCTGAAAAACTAACTTCACTGAATAGCAACAGATTCCCTATGAATGTCATGTGGCAATGTTGGGAAATGGAATCTCTGTTTAAATATTCAGCCATGCTAAAATAAAGAGAATGGGAAATCATAATTTATTTAAGTGAACTGTGTAGGCAGCATGATGGAAAGTGTTTTGAAGAGGTTTGTTCCTATTATGAGTCTCCTACATTAATAATCTAATTGTGCTCAGTGGGAATAGAATGCTCCAGCCTAGCTTGGGTGCAAGGCTTCAGGAAAGAACGCCTGACCAGGGAGGGTCGTGGAGCTGCTATTGACATGCTATTGACATGGTGTTTTTTGCAAGAGGACATTGGACAATATGAAATATGCCCAACACGATTAGCTCAAGAGCTTTGAGATAGATTTTAAGAGGATATCAGCCCAAGAAAGTAGCATATGAATGGTGCCAAGAGATTGAGGTGTTAGTCTGAGCAATTATTTGCTAAGTTATTATTGCCCATTAAAAAAATTATAATGGGTCTAAGTTGATATTTTGTGAAAGTTTTACAGCTATATCCAATCACCAGTATAACTACAATTATAAAGAAAATATCCTCTGGATAATAAAACCTCAATCTGTATGTTCATGTCTTAATCTTCCATTTTATTCACAATGGTAACACAACTTTAACTAGAGGACAGCTGTTCATTACTAACTGAAACCAGATGACTTGAAGCAGTGCTTATATTTACTATAATATATATTTACAAACAAAGTAAATGCAAATAACTTTCAGGTATTTGCTTATGTAGTGATCATATTCTTGTGTTGTAATGTCTCTAAGTATGAAAAAAATAAGCACAATTATTCTAATTCTCAAAGAGTTCATCTAGTGGTGAAAGTATTTAGCTGTTAAGACCAGCATAACTCAGATTTGCTTTGCTATTCAATGTCTTTCCTAATACAGTTTCTTCATACCATTCTTAGCTTCACGTCAACATTGTAACATGGTGTAAAAACAAAAATGTGCAGCTCTCAGTTCAGGAGGTTGAAGTCCAAACCAAATCCAAGTCTTGTCAAGGTTATATCTTTTTGACGACTGTGCGGGAAGAATCTGTTCCAGATTCTTGGATGAAGATGATACTATCCATGTCTTTATACCATGTCTCTTCTATGCACCTGTATATCTGAATTGTTCCTTTCTAATAACCACAACCCAATAACCTCACTGGCACTTAATCATGGGCAAAGACTCTTTTCCGATTAGGTTAAGTCTATATATCCTGGGGGTAATAAAGACCAGTAACTTTCCAATGACTCAGTTGAAGGAATAACAATGACAGCCTGGGAGGAGTACTGCATCTGAAAGTGAGCATTTCTGTCTGTCCTAAACATGTTCTTTTGATTTAGATTCTCTAGTGGCATGCAGATGTTAATTTCCAGCCTCCTAGATGGACTGTGAAGGCAATAGTCTCTGTGCCCGGGCTACTTAGTGTTCAGCAACCTGTAAGCTATGGTCTTGCAGCTTTGGAATCAGCCTGAAACGTGTAAATTGGAGACTTCTGGGCCACACCTCAAACATTTGCGATCAGCATCTCCTAGAGTGAAGCAAGGGCCTCTGCATTTCAAAAGACTTCCAGGAACAGCAGGTGGTGCTTTCTTCTGGGAAACACAGGTGCAAGCTGTGGACAGTGCCACAGTCTCTTAAACACAGGCTCATAGGTGAAGAAGAAGAAGGTCTTTATTCTTTAAGACCCTCACTGGCTCAACACTTTATTGAGTTGGTTTCACAATTGTATAACAACTGTTATACAATTTGTGTCATTCTAGATTATCCCCCAGTGGCAAGTGAAGAAAATCTTTTCCTGCACATGAGTAATCAGACTTTTCATTATTTCGATCTAAATCTATTATCTATCTATACCAATTTATAATAAGAAATAAGCCCACTAGATTTACATTATTCTAATTATTTAAAATATGAATGAGGGTTCTTTGACTACTTAAGGAAAATGGAATTAAGACATGCTTATTTTGGTGCAAAAATGTTTTTTTCTTCAAGATTTATTTATTTACTTGAGAGGCAGAGTGAGATAGATGGAGAAAGAAAAAATTTGAGAGAGAGAGAGCAAGATCAACTTTCCTCTACTAGTTCACTCCCCAGTTTACATCGACAGCCATAGTTTGTCCATGGCAAAGTCAGGCCCCTGTAACACCATCTGGGTCTGTCACATGCGTGGCAGTGGTACAAATAGTTGCTGCTCTTGTTGTTTTTCACAGCACATTAAATGGAAACTGGATTGGAAGTGAAGCAGCCAGACTCAAATCGCCACTCCAATGTGGGCTTAACCGGCTGCTCCACAATGCTGGCCTGTAAAACTATTTTTAAATCCATGAGTACAGGGGTTTCCATAGTTCATGGGAAGTAGTTATTATAAACAAAAGTTATACATTGGTGTAAAATAATTTTTATCTAAAAGTAAACATGTGCTAATTCTATTTTTCTATGAATCATTGAACTATTCTGATGTCAATGTCTTCATTGACAGTGACTTGCAGAAAATTCCAGGATTTACATTTGGAATTTACTATAAATAAATTACTTTCAATGCTTTGGCTTCTGATGAATTTTATCAATGGAAAGAAGCTAAATATTTATAGGCAGGTAAAAATGTGCAGGTTAGCATACACAAATGAGGGTATATGTGTCTGACAGGTGCTGAGACATTGCCCAGAGTGGTGAGCTCATATTCTGGTATAGCTATGTCTTTCAAGAGCTTTGTTGAGCATCTGGAAAAGGAATATTATAACATATCTGCAAGATGGGGTAATTTATAAGGTGTAGGATTTCATTTGATTCCTGGTTCTGGCAGTTACCAAGTCCAGAAGCATAGTACTGGCATCTGCTTGGCACCTTGTGAGGACCCCCTCACTGCAAGTGACACAGCAGAAAGAGAACTAAATGATGAGATTGATCAAGCATGCTTGCTAGAGTCTCTCATCTTCTTATTAGCCCACAAATGCCATCGTGCAGATTCCACCCTCATGGATTCATCCAGTCCTGATTAATTCCCGAAGGCCACATCCCCAACTATCATGAATTTGGGGATCATGTTTCAAACACATGTATGGTGCATCAATGAAATTCAATAATCAAGGATCTTACGAGCCATTGTCTCAAGAAGAAAGAAAGGAAAGGGAAATAAACCCTACCCTTCAAATGTTTTCTGAGTCATGAAACTATGAAGTCAAGAAGATGAAGATAATCTTGACTGTGTTGATCAGAAAAAGATCATCGATGGAAAGAGGAAGCTCTTAGTCACCGTCCCTGGAAAGCTGTCCCCACAGCAAGTGTGGAGTAGACCAGAAGAAGCTTGTCCAACTACAGCGCAGTCTTGAGTGATGACTCCAACCCCTGACCTCATTAAGGTGATGTGCTGCCAGTCTATCTTAAAAAGGGAATGTATGTGTCACCAACACAATAAAATTACACGTTAAAATACAAGATGTCTGCTATTGCCAAAAGATCAAAACTCAAAAGCAAAACAATGGAATACTTACAGGTTACTACAATTTTAGAGTTATCACTAACTCTTAAGCAATAAAATAACAGATTAAAAAGAGAACATTAAGGAGGAAATCATGATTAATGACTTTGGAAAGAAAAACAATCAAGTATTTGGAAATTTTAACAAAAAATTATAGAATTTTACTGAAGAATACACCGGGTAAATGTAATACCAAATTAATAGATAAAAGAGAAATATGAGAAGCTGATATGTTAATAAAACATATCACATCCATTGAAAAATGTGATGTTGAACTATGTGTTTCAATCCTGATGCTAGGTATTTATCTTAGACCAAAATAAGTATGCTAAGGGAGACACAGGTCAAGGTACGCAAAATGAGGACCAGATTTATTTGAAAGGTGGAAAAGAGAACATATGTTTGCATGTGGATGGGGATTTCTTCACTTGAAAAAAATATACATTTTCATAGACAAGAAGGTTACCCGGAGAGAACGCGAGAATCCTAGATAGCGTGATAGCATCTTTGGCTATGGTCTGGGACACAGTGTCCTCCCAACCCCCATTTCCATCCTCTTTTAGGAGATGGAGAATAATACCTTTGCATGCTTGAAGCTATCTGGAATT